TTTCTATGTTTGAATGATGACATAGTCGATATTCTCAGTCATTAGAGGGAGCAGTGAACTATTCTACTCAGGATAGGGCAAAGGGACTAGGAGAGAGGCAAGAACAACTCATTCTTCAGAGCATCTATTGACATTAGATGCCAGACTGGTAAGTATGGCAAAAGGCCTACTCTGAGATTCTTAGGACCAGCTCTCTGTGACCTCTTGTAGAATTCAATCCCACAGACTCTTCCCATTTCCATTTCCATTTCCACCTACATTTGTCTAATTAAAAAACTTTTCCAGTTTCTCTGGCACTGTCTTTGATGACATTAGCTGAGTGCTTAATTCTTACCAGTCATACATCTATTTTCCCTTCCTTAAACTGTGCCAAGGAAGATGGGCTTGTTTGTTATTTGGTCTGATCTTGGCATTATCTTCTTGATTGACTTGTCAAATCCTGTCAAGTGTGAGATTATCCTGATTGTACTCAGATTTAATTATTTCATTTGTTTTTTCTGTTTGGAAAAGGTGCTACATCGGGGTTGGAAAGACAGTACAGCGGGGAAGGCCTTTGCCTTGTACCCAAACATGGAATTCAATTCCCAGCACTGCCTATGGTGCTCTGAGCCCTGCCAGGGAGTGATGCCTGAGAATAGGTAGGTCGTGAGTACTCTCCAGTCACCCCTTCCCCACAAAGGTACTGACTTTCTCCAATTTTGTGACTGTCCTCTTTCATGGCTTGATTTATGCTCTGTCTCCTGTGTTATTATTATTTTTGTGTGTTTGTTTTATTGCTTTTGTTTTTCTTGGTCCACACTCAGCTGCTATTGGTGGTGCTCAGGTGTGAAGGGGACTAGATTTAAGTGCCTTGCCGGCTGTGCCATTTCTCTGGTCCATTTTGTATCTTTTTGAATATGTTATCCGACATGTTGGGCTGCTATGGAAGTAAAACGAATCATACCTAATGCATTTGCAATAAAAACTTCTATCTGAAAAATAACAATATTTAAGCCTGGGGCAGATGATGAGGGAGGTTGTGGGAAAAATGAAATTAGTAACTGAATTGTCTGCAGTTTTGGCTAGTATTTTCCCTCTTGCTCCCTTTATTTTAAGGGGATTGGGAGCGACATATCTGATGATACTCAGTGCTTACTCTTGCTCTGTGCTCAGAGATCACTCCTGGCAGGGTTTGGGAGACCATATATAGTATCTGGGATTGAGCTAGGCCGGCTGTGTGCAAGGCAAGCACCCTCCAGCTGCTTTATCTCTCTGACCCCTTAGTTATCACTTATGGAGGTAACCTGGTTGATCAGACATTACTGGACTTCAATAGCTCATTTCACTGCTCATGGAAGAGGAGGGGTTCATCAATCAACTGAGAGACCAGGTAGCAGGCAGAGAAGAAACTTTGTTAGAAAAGAACTGGAATAACAAACTCTACTCTAGAGAACAGTCTTGTATGCTCAGAAGAAGTTTACATAGGAAAAACAAGAAAATCTACCTATAGATATGGCCCCTGTGCACACAATAAGGCGCTTAACAACTTCTTTGGGGACCAATGTCTTTGGGGTAAACTTAGTTGTATCTGCAAATCTAAACAAATCTTAAGGGTTATCTGATGAAGAGCTACTTGGCAGAAACTTTTGGGGGGAAGGACAACCAACATAAGGGAAGCATTATCTATTCCTTCCTTTGTTCCTCCCTCCCTCCCTCCCTCCCTCCCTCCCTCCCTCCCTCCCTCCCTCCCTCCCTCCCTCTCTCCCTCCCTCCCTCTTTCTCTCCCTCCCTCCTTCCTTTTTTCCTTCCCTTTTTTTTTGGGGGGGGGATACAACCAATAGTATTCAGGGCTCATTCTTGACTCTGTGCTTAAGGATCACCATTGTAGGGTTCAGGGGACCAGGTGGAGGTGCCAGGAATTGAACCTGTGTTGGCCAAATGCAAGGAACAGACCTGACGGTCCTGTCTCTCAGGCCGGTGATCCAAATTTCAATAGTCCCTGCCCAGAAGAATGTGAAGTGTGGTTTGCAATTTTGAATTCAGCTCTTATTTCTTTCAGGTGATTTAATAATTTTAAATTTTTTCAAATTTAAAGGCCCTCCCGTTGATCGTCGATTTGCTCGAGCGGGCCCAGTAATGTCTCCATTGGAGACTTTGTTGTTACTGTGTCTGGCATATCGAATACTCTCGGTAGCTTGCCGGGCTCTATAAAATAAAAATTTTAATAATAATTAAAAATTTAAAATAAAAATAATACAAATAAAATTGTTTTAAAAATATGCTTTTTTGCAGAGGGGGGCACACCCAAAAGGAGGGCTTTTGGGTATGCCTCCTATTCCTGGCTTTGTACTCAGGGTCACTCCTGATAGGGATCTGAGGACCATATGTGGTGCCAGGGATTGAACTTAGGTCAGTTACAAGCAAGGCAGGCACCCTTCCTGCTGTACTATATTGCTTCAGCTCTGTTTGTTCATTTTTAACATTCCCTGGTTGTCTAGTGATTAGGACTTGGCTCCTGTCTTCTCTCTCTCTGTTTCTGTCTTTCTCTCTCACATATTTTCTCGCTCTCTTTTTTGGGGGACAGTGATCCGCATTCAGGGATCACTCTTGTTAGGGTTGGGGGTGGGAACCACATGCGGTGCCAGGTCCTGGCCAGCCACGTGCAAGGAAGCAAGAAATTGCCCTTCTTGCTGTGCTACTGCTAGGGCTCCTCTTTTTTAAAAACTTTTTGTACTTATAAGCAAAAGTTTAAATCTGAAGTGATTACACATGTTAATGTGTCAGCAGCTACATACATATAGTGATGATTTAGATTTGTGATCCTTTCACAGTAAGACAAAATTTATTAAAAAAAACAATCTGAGGGCTGATAGTGTAGAGATTAAGGCACTTGTCTTGCATGTGTTCTTTGGCATGGCATATGGTCCCCTCAACACTACTGGAAGCAGTCACTGAGCACCACCAAGTGTGGCCTCAAAAGCTGTCCCCAAATATAAAGTAACAGAATGGGAGTCGAACACCCAAGAATAGTTGAGATAAGTACCAGGAGGTCTGCTCCAGGGCTTGGAAGCCGGCAGCACGTGCTGGAGGAAAAGGCAGCTCAGATAGGGTAGGGAACACCAAGTAAAGGATGTTTGGAGGACTCGCTCGGGATGCGAGATGCGTGCTGAAAGTAGACTATAGACTGAACACGAAGGCCACTTAATACCTCTATTGCAAACAACAAGACCCTGAAGGAAAGAGTGAGCAAAAGAGAATGCCTTGCCATAGAGATGGGGTGGGGGGTGGGATGGGGGGTGGGAGTGGGAGGGCTACTAGGATCATCAGTGGCAGAGAATGGGCACTGGTGGAGGGATGGGTACTCGATCATTGTATAACTGAAACCCAGGAACGAAAGTTTGTAAGTCTACAACTGTACCTCATGGTGTTTCACTAATTAAAAATAAAAAAACCTGTCCTGTCCCCGCCCCACCTCAACACCAGAAACATCTAATATTAAGGTCTAGTTCATGTCTGCAATGCTGTTTACACTTAAAAGGCACTCTTATTGTTTATGCCTTAACAATCATTAAAATTATTGTTTGAATGGTAGGCGATTGGTTAGAGCTTTTATTACTAATATACTCGTATTGATAACTCATTGATTCTATTTATGTGAAATGGGCTGTAATCATTATGCGCTAATTATTATAATCTGGAATTACAATTATATTAGAACAATAATTTAAGAACTTGTAAAATTTGAAAGCCCATCATTACCTTGAACATATATGAAAGTATTAAGATAGTTAAGTCAATCTTCCAGTGATAGCTTTTATAAAGAGAGTACTCAAGGTGTTGCCCATGAGAATTATACTAGTGTTCAAGATTAGAATAACTAAAGAGAAAAATTTTGGCTTCCTTTTTATCTGAAAGTCTCTTATCTATAAAGCACTACCAGATATTTGCTAGTATATGTAAATGTATGTCAACTTATACTATCATATACATACTGTAGCACTGTAGCACTGTCCTTGCTTCTCGGCCTTTTGGCTAAGATCAAGTGTAGTATGTATATACTAATGAATAAAAATACTTGTGTTCTTGTGTATCCTAGATATTATTCGTAGATGAAAACTGAATCCTTGCACTTTGAAGTTCTCATAGTTCAATACATGACTTTCACCTGTCACTCAGATTATAACCACCGAAATGCTATTGATTTTCTCTTTGGAAAACTATACACCATTTCTTTTTTTTTTTTTTTTTTTACCATTTCTAATATATGGCTCTAATGACTTTTTTTTGGTGACCAGTTATGCAATCAATGCTGATTTCTGCTCAAATTTCAATTGCATCACATTTACTGGTTTTAGGCAAAGTAAACAGCATAATTTGCTTCCTGACTCAAGTAGGTTTTCATGTTTCAGTCTATCTGGTGAAATAAACATTAGAAAATTAAAAATAAATGCTTGCTATGCTTATATCTCAGAGAAATAATAGACTGGACAAAAATATGGTATATTCCAGTTTGTGATGGAATGTATGTAAATACCATACCACACGTCAAAGTATCTAGCTGATCTTTAGTATATGGACAAGCTGTCAGAAGAGTATTTATATCTGACAGATTTCCAAGAATGTTTTTCCTAATAAACTTCAGGATTTTATGGTAGGGTTAACTGGCTGTACCTTTTAATTTTACTAGGCCCTTTACCATAGTGATTTACAAAGAGAAATGCATTAATAAATTAAAATCCTAATTTTGCCTTAAGCAACGTGTACTATACTATGCTTGTAATCATATACAGCATTCAACAGCTTGAAACACCAAGCAACAGCACTTACTATACATTCAGTGTTTTTTTGCTTTTACTTAGCAGTTGTGAGTCTTAAAACCTTTTGAAAGCGTGGCACTTAAAAAGCCACCTTGGTATTGATTTCTGGTGCAAATGCAAGTGTCACAGAATCCTTCATAGAGAAAGGAATGGCTCTGAAAAGAGCCTTTAGGGACAGGGTCGGGGACACCAGCAAGGTGAGCTTTAAGCCCTCTCTCCGCGGATGCGGCGGGCCAGCTGGATGTCCTTGGGCATGATGGTGACGCGCTTGGCGTGGATGGCGCAGAGGTTGGTGTCCTCGAAGAGCCCCACCAGGTAGGCCTCGCAGGCCTCCTGCAGCGCCATGACGGCCGAGCTCTGGAAGCGCAGGTCGGTCTTGAAGTCCTGCGCGATCTCGCGCACCAGCCGCTGGAACGGCAGCTTGCGGATGAGCAGCTCGGTGGACTTCTGGTAGCGGCGGATCTCGCGCAGCGCCACGGTGCCGGGCCGGTAGCGGTGCGGCTTCTTGACGCCGCCCGTGGCCGGCGCGCTCTTGCGGGCCGCCTTGGTGGCCAGCTGCTTGCGGGGCGCCTTCCCGCCGGTCGACTTGCGCGCCGTCTGCTTGGTGCGGGCCATGGCTCAGCTGCAGAAGGGCCGGACTTCGGGAGTGGCCGCGCGCCTTTGCTTATATAGGAAAAGGCCCACTGTGATTGGGTCGTCAGTGATTCCTAAATTCCGGAAATGCTGGGAGAGCTTTTTGGGGATTGGCTCAGCCGTTGGAGCTGCATTCTGATTGGTTCATTTTAATTAGACGCCATATAGCGCCTTTCATTTCAAAGGCAATTCACTTGCAAATTAAGTTGCTCTTTGAACAGTTCTTTCAAGCAGGTGTAAATCTCTGGCGCACCGCTTATTCTATATCATTTGTCATTTTTTTCCCCTTTAGATCTTCCAAAGGGTAGAATTCTTTCGTCGAAATAGTACGCTACAATTCTGGTTAAAAATTTATCCACAGGGGTCTGAAGAGATATACGGTGGGTAAGTTGCTTGTCTTGCATGAAGCCAACCAGGGTTTGCTCGCATTCCATATGGTCCCCTGAGCACTGCCAGGAGTGATTCCTGAGTGCAGATCCAGGAGTAAGCCCTGAGAACTTCCGGGTGTGGTCTCAAAAACAAACAAATTTGTATCCATCATTTTCCCCTAAGCTGTTCATCCAATCTGTATTCTGTCTTGCTTATTAAAAATATCGCTAAGCACATATTCTTGTTTGTTTCTTCCTCCCGCGCTTTACCCTATTCTAATTGCATGCACGATGCAGAATGTACTGCAGCATGGACTTCTAAGAATGCTCTTAATAAGAAAAACGTGTTCCCGTAACTCTGAACGGGGCAGGGTATATGTGAGGAGGGGAGGGAAACCAGGAACATTGTGAAGAGAAGATCTCATTGGCGTTGGGATTGGTGTTGGAACTTTGTCTGCCTGCATTATGAACAACTGCATTTATAGATCAAGGTAGTCTAATAAACACACATTTCTAAAACGTCCCTAACAAAGGTGCAGGGGGAAAAAGTTGACTAGAAGCGCAAAGGGGCAAATTGTTCTATTAAGAGTTGAAGTTCCTCCCTTTGCCTCTCCCTCTAGAATCACTAGTGACGCGCTTTGCTGTGGGTTTGCCTGCTTTTACCCTCAGGGATATCGTTGGTTTCCAGCGCCACCTACTGTCCGGAAAGTTGGTCATGTACGCAGTGTTTGGAGGTTGTCAGTCTCCAATACACCTGCCACAGAGCAATATTTTATATGGCTCAAGATTCTTTACAAGGGAGGCGCTCACTTTTCCACGACGAGAGTTGTAATCAAAGATATTTCCTGGAGAATTATGAAAGCGGGCCATATACAATAGTTCCATTTTTAAATGTAAGAAAAAAATGTGATCTCATTTGAACTCAAGTTAAAATTTACTGTGTAAATAATTTGCAAGCTAATTGTGTGCAGTTATAATTTACAATCCGACTTTTGTACTTTTAAAATATTTGAGTTATTCTTGAAACGTTTCTCTTACACATTTTATAGTGAGTATCTTTGAAGTGAAAAGCTGTAAGGTTCTGAAATACGTTCTTTCATTGTTCAACATACGGTGCGGTTCCAGGGAATCTTTCCACTGAGAATTTGTTACCGTCCTTTATAAAAGAACACATAACCTCAGTGTCACTAAACAGTATATACTAGACTGCGCCTGGGTCTAGGGCAGGGTTGGGGCTGGAAACCCTAGACTCAAGAGCTAAAACTAAGCTAAATTTAACTATTTCAAAGGCAGTTCTTCAAATGTACATTAAAGACCTGCTTATTGAGTATATGTTTGTGTTTGCCTAGAGATTGTTACCGGCAATCAACACTACATGGAATTAAAACATCAGAAGACCGATATGACTTATATTTAATATTAGTTTTGTATTCTCCGTGTTTGGTTTTGTCCAATTAAAAAAAAAACAAACTAGATCTAGAAGTTTAGGGAGTATATAGGCTATGCACAGGAAAGTATGGCTTCGTGTATTCTGGTTTTGAAAGTAGGCCATCTGTTTTTGTACTGAAGACAAAATTAGGTGGACCACAATAGAGATGACTCTAAATAACTCTTGAATTGATCTGGTCTATAGGCTTGCTAGTAAGGCAAGTCAAGAATACATGAACGATTTATGTGCAAGTTCAGAAAACTTACATGCATTTGAAGGTTACATAGCTGTAAAATAAATCCGTGGTATAGAATTTACATGTGAATCTTCTAATAGTAAAAATGTACTTTTATTTCATCACCTCTTTAATTTTACATGAAACATAACATATTCAGAGGCTTTTTTACCAACTGAAATTTACGTCCTCCCCATAACACAAATGCAGATTTGTGTGATTTTGGCCCATGGATGCTGTACAAAAGTTAGTTATGACTGGGCAAGTAATGGGTGTGGGGGGGGGAGGGGGCGGGGGGTGTCCGGTCTCTTGGATCGGTTGATCGGGGGAGGATCCACTTCCAAACTGTGGATTGTAGATGGCAGAATTATTTTGATTGTAGGGCAGATGTTCTTATTTTTCTTACTGGCAGTGGACTGTTGGGGTCTCCAACAATTTCTAGAGTCCTCTGTGTTCTGTCAGCATGGATATTTGATCCAGAGCCAGGGTGCAAAAGAAAGTTGTTATAAATCTCATCAACATCAAATACAGATTACTTTAACCCTCACCTTTGTTTTATACTGTCTGAAACAATTCACTGGTCATTGAAGGGTTAAGATTAGAAGGCTAAATGGCTAATGAGAGAAATTTGGCTATCTCAAAACCCATCTTTAGGGGCTGGAGCAATAACACAGCGGGTAGGGCATTTGCCTTGCACACAGCCGATCCATGTTAGATTCCCAGCATCCCATATGGTCACCCAGGGCACCGCTAGGAGTGATTCCTGAGTGCATGAACCAGGACTAACTCCTGTGCATCGCCAGGTGTGACCCAAAGAAGGAACATTTATTAGGATGTTACAATTGGCTTTAGTGTTACCTAGCCTGCAAGGAGCTTGTCTCCGCCTGTTTGCTTTATCTCCCTAACAAAGACCGGGGTGCTTTAGCATAACGTTGCACTGGAGTTTCAGGCTATCAGCCAAAAGCTTTAATAATGAAAATATAAACTGTGATCAAGTCTCGTTTGCAAACTTTAAGGGAACATTTCCAGTTAAGATCAGTATTTAAAACACCCAGTTCAAAATTAATTCTGCATTATCAAAACTTATGGTCAAGCAGAAAAAAAGCGTGCTATTGCTCTTTTAACAGAGGACATGGGTGGCCCTAAAAAGGGCCGTTAGCGATGGTAGTAAATTCACCTTAATGGGTTGGAAATTAGCCGCCGAAGCCGTAGAGGGTGCGGCCCTGGCGCTTGAGCGCGTAGACCACGTCCATGGCCGTGACGGTCTTGCGCTTGGCGTGCTCGGTGTAGGTGACGGCGTCGCGGATGACGTTCTCCAGGAAGACCTTGAGCACCCCGCGGGTCTCCTCGTAGATGAGCCCCGAGATGCGCTTGACGCCGCCGCGCCGGGCCAGGCGGCGGATGGCGGGCTTGGTGATGCCCTGGATGTTGTCGCGCAGCACCTTGCGGTGGCGCTTGGCGCCGCCCTTGCCCAGGCCCTTCCCGCCTTTGCCGCGACCAGACATGACTCAGAGGGAACGACAGTAGCTCCGTTCTGTTCGGAGGCAGGCCGAAAGCCGTATTTATATCCCCCTAGCGGACCTTGTTGAGAACCACAGAAAGGCTGCGTGTGGGTGGGGCGCGGGAGAATCCGGATTTATCTCCGCCCACAAATGCTAGTTCCTGGCGGGAGCAAGGGAGATTTAGATTTCCGGATTCCTGTTTAATCCTTAAAATCCTTTCATCCTACCTTTTCTAAAGATCCAAAACAGAGTCCTCAGGTTTTTTGTTTTATGTATATAAAGGAATTATCAGGTTAAAAATGTTTTTTTGGTAAAGCAGCTAGTGTACATTGCTTTAAAAATGTACCTTGAATTTAGAAGAGATCTGAGTCCAGAGCCACAAGTACATTCTGAGTCCTGAAACTTAAAGAAAAGATAATTAAAAGACTTTCCATCTGCAAATAAAAACCAAATTGAATCCCTTCCTGGTGTGCTTGCTTGTAAATCAAGTGCTTTAATGTCTGAAACTCTCTAGCACCAGTCTCCCTAAATTATAAGGTGGAACCTCTCTGGTGGACCTCTGTTCCCCTCTCTTCATGAGTGAATTCTCTTAGAGATCAGAGGCAATTCTATATGATTATATCACAATTATTTTGGGTGGCGGGTGGGGGAAAAGATTTGTGACCCATCAGGAATTGCTTGGAGATTGTTTTTTGCTGTGCTTGTCACAGCACAGGGCTCCTGAGAAGGAAAGGGACCTTCAAAGTGCACTGTCTGTGCCCAGCGATTTGAGCTAGCTTCACCCCTACATTTACATTTGTATGCTCTCCTAATTTGACCAAAAGTCTTCATTAGCATCCTCATGAGAAAAATGCAATTCTGCCTAGGGTTGTTTTGTTTGTTAAGTCGTTAGAGCCCCTGCCAAGCCTTTGGATGAAGACTCAGTTGAGGAATAGAAATGTAAATTTTTTGTAATCTTAGTAAGTTTTCACCTGAAAGCTGACACTCCAGTCACTGGAAACTTTCATTTACAGAGGATTGCTTTTCAAGCCTTGAGTTCTTGCTATTTAAATACAAATCCTTACTTTCAATCAAAGTAACCTGAGATGAAATAAATCATCCTTTCAGTTCTGATAATATAGGTTGAAAATAAGTGAGAGAGAATTAGTCTTTCTATGAATATGGATATTTTGGATTTAACATGGTCTTAGATATCAGAAATTTGTGACTAGTATATATGTATCTAAGATATGTGTTTGTGGTTTAAAATTTAATATCTGACATGCATTTTTTCCCCCTAAAGTCCACACTGTTGCATTGTATGTCCTTTCCCACTCAAACTTTGCTATTAATGATCTTGGAATGTATGCACATTTATTGTATAATACATTCATTGCATATGAAAGAAATTCAACTTCAGTGATGAGAATAAAACATTAAAAAATACATTTTAGTATGTATTTGGCAGGGATGCCTGCCAAATAACTCATTACAGGAAATTTAAGATGGAGTGTTGAAAAAATATGTAAATCTTAGCAGTTTTCACAGACAAAATATGAAGTGAAAGTTGGCTTGGCTTCTATGATTTTCTGTCTTTTCTTCTTTCTCACCCCTACCCCTTCACACACACACACACTCACACACACACACACACACACGCACACACTCTCTCTCTCCATCGTAGAAATGATTCAGATGAGGCCAGGGCAAAAGCAGCCCCAGTTTTCTCTCTGTGTTCATTAGTAATTCCCAGGTTCTTCAATATTTTCAAGAATGAATATATTGAATATAAATTATGAATTCAAAATATTGAATTATGAATATATATAATTAAAGATGCTCAGACTCAGAGCTGGAAAGTAGAAAAGTTTATTGTAAAGTAGAAGAGAGAAGGGAAGGGAGGAATTTAGTATAAGACTAAGTAACAATGAGGAGATCTTGTGTAGGCCCTTAAAGGCCCTTTGCATCCATCAATCAGGGAGTAGCATGTGGGGAATCTGCAGTGTTGTTGAGCTGGTTTGCCTTTCTGGTCACCTGCCTTCGGAATTGTTCATTATCTTAGTCCTGGGACAGAATGATATGGTTCTGGTAAACAACAGGAATGTTAAAGATAGGGTCTTGGGGATGAGATGTGATAGGTTGATGGTGAGAAATGGAACTGCTGGCAAGGGGAACCAGTGGGTTCCCCTCTTGTTGGCAAGGGAAAACTGAGGCTTTGTCTTTCAGCAGTGATTGGGGGACCATTTGAGGTACTAGAATAGAACCTGCATGTAAGGCAAGCGCTCTCCCATCTGTAATATTGCTCTGGTCCCTATTTATGCTATTCTTTAATAAATTATGTTTTAAAATTTTGAGCACATCAATAAATAACTCTGGGGGCCAGAACAGAAGTACATCACAAAAGTACACTAGGTGGGGAGTTTACCTTGTAGAAGTTCAACAAAGTTCAATTCCTTGAGCACCTCTAGGAGTGATTCTTGAGCAAAGAAGTAAGAGTGATTAACCTCTGTACCACTATATATATATGTATATATATAATGTTAGTTTAAAAATGACTTTATCATGAAACTAATATTTTTGCAGAAAGATATAAGGCAGTGGGTTACATAACATCTTGAAAAACTAAATAAAGCCCAAGAGAGACCAAGCTGTGAAAATTTGGTTTAAAAAAGATCAAAGGAAAAAAGTAAATTGGAGTAAAAAAGCAAGAATCTGAATATTTATTATTTTATTAATTCATAAGGAAAGACTATCAAGGAACTTTTTATAAATATATTTATCACGCAGTTTTACATACTTTTTCTATCCTTTTGTAAAATTTATGGCATGAAAACCATATCCTGAGTCTGGAAAGTCAGTAGAGGGTGATATTAAATATCCAAAGAAGTTGGAGGTTGCCCAAGGATATATGTGAATTGATCAATTCACACATTGTTTTTAATTAAAACTGCCAAACTTTGTAAATGTTGCCTATTAACTTATAGGATTCTATTCTTTGTTTAGTATCAAGGTAAATAATTTCTGTGGAGTAGAATAGATGTAATTGCGCAAATGTAGTGTATCTATACATTCTTTATTTTTCAACTTAATTTTACATTCCTATAATTTCTTTGTAAATTTTTTATAAATAATTTTATCTCTTTTTAAAATTTTATCTCTTAAATTTATGTAATTAATAGAAATTTCTGTTGCAGTATACATTGTTGGACTAGATACTTTGGGACAAATGCTTACTTTACAGTTACAGAATCTCAGTTTATGATAAAGGGAAGATTATCGAGAGATACCACCTGCCTTTCGCTTGACCAGTCAAGTGCCATCTCTCCTTGACCCAGGAGAGATGCTCCTTTCATCATCTAGAAAGGAAGATTTTTTTTTCTCTGAGAAAGTTTCTCCCAAGAAAGACCCAAATATTGAGTCAGGAAAGGCCAAGGCTTCCCTAGATCTTAAAACAAAGTATTCTATTTGAATATACTTTTATTCGGCACTTATTAATATCAAAGACATGCTACTTTAGATATTGAAGCTTGTACTATACTGATTTCAATTATTTTTCTTTAGTAGAGGTGCAAATGATCTCTATCCAGCTAAAAGATAGCCTAAAGATTATCATTGTGATAAAATCTTTTGGATGTCAATTTGTTCTTTGGCATATTTCAGTCATTATTTTCAAAGACAGGCAAAATTTTCCTTGTTCCATCTTGGTTCACAACTGGCCCCTGTTAAAAAAAGAACTTGTCTTATCAAGAGAAAAATAGATGTAAGTTTATTATGTGTATTTTCACATATATGGATGAGACCAAGGAATATGTGATTCAAAGAAGTGATTCAGACAGCTGTTGTGATTTAAACAGTGAATTCAGCAGCTTGAACAAAAACAATAGGTTGACAGAGATGAAAGGACAAAGGAAAGCCATTTAGGCATTCTAGGGTGACAGAGAAAGGAAAAATGAGTAAACAAGTAAATAAGGTTTGCATAGAGATGCCTCTAGCTCCATCTATTGGCCGAGTTTAGAATTTTCTAGTACGGCATTTATTTCTGGCCATCAGGCAAGAAATGATTTTCTTGACATGATTGTCTTATTTGCCCTCAGCTTCTAATAATTTTAATTTTTCATGTCAAAGGGCTATTTTGTAGTAGTTATTCTGCTTTCTCCTGTCTGGTGAGTTGTACTCTCTTCTTAGAAACATTAGGTCTTTCAAAAATAAACTTTAATAACTTGTAATAGTACAGATATTAGCTTCACGTAAAATTTATTAGTTCTATAATTAATAGCTTACAGTACCCTCCTCAGTGACTTGGACGTCTCACTTCATTTTCATACTCTTGAATGCTATCACTTGTAAACGATTATACCTTACACTCTAGGATACAAAGCTGCACATCATGGGAATCAGACCACTTAGTCGTTCTTTGACTGTCTCTAAAAGCCATTCCACTTATACACCCCTACCCTCTCATTATAGATTAAGATACCCTGTACAGTGGTTTTTGAAACTAAAGCTATAGACTATTGTAAAATTACACCAAACTGTTCAAATCGAGTATATACTTCAAATTCAAGATTTTTTTTAATAAAATGAGCTTTTTGATAGCCTAAGTGAGTACTGAAAAGGTGTTAAGTTCTACTTTGATTACCGGCTGTTTGGGAATGAATAAAGTGCTTTAACCGTGTCCCTTTGGGCAGTTTACTCTGTTGTACGACAATTAACCATCCATCAACATTGTAATCAAGAAACAAGGTGCAACAAGCATCACAGCTTCCTATTGAGAAAGTGGGTGGCTCTGAAAAGAGCCGTTAGGGACAGGGTCGAGACAACGCCAAGGCGAGCTTCAAGCCCGCTCCCCGCGGATGCGGCGCGCCAGCTGGATGTCCTTGGGCATGATGGTGACGCGCTTGGCGTGGATGGCGCAGAGGTTGGTGTCCTCGAAGAGCCCCACCAGGTAGGCCTCGCAGGCCTCCTGCAGCGCCATGACGGCCGAGCTCTGGAAGCGCAGGTCGGTCTTGAAGTCCTGCGCGATCTCGCGCACCAGCCGCTGGAACGGCAGCTTGCGGATGAGCAGCTCGGTGGACTTCTGGTAGCGGCGGATCTCGCGCAGCGCCACGGTGCCGGGCCGGTAGCGGTGCGGCTTCTTGACGCCGCCCGTGGCCGGCGCGCTCTTGCGGGCCGCCTTGGTGGCCAGCTGCTTGCGGGGCGCCTTCCCGCCGGTCGACTTGCGAGCCGTCTGCTTGGTGCGGGCCATGACTTGAGCTCAGCCAAGACAGGATCTAGACTGGGGCCGGGAACTTCCGATCGAATTTATAGAAGCGGGTCAGGTCCCGCGCTGTGAGCTGATTGGGCCTCTAGTTGCCGGCCGGGGGTTATGTGACAGGGTCGTTCCTTTAGGATGGACCGTTATTAGGAACATCTTGAGTTTAGGTTGAGTACAGAAACGGGATTCCAGCCAATGTCTTTTTCCCCCCTTTTCTGCTTTTGTGGAGAAAAGTGAATCTACTTGTACAAGAGAATCACTTTGAAAATTTAAAAAGCCCGCCCTCGGCTGTGATTGGTCAGTTCTACCTCCTTTGTTCCTTTCATAAATTGAAATGCCAAACGATCCGGAAACCAGACCGTGTGCAAATGTAACTGTAAATTAAAAACATTTGGGACAGAATAAAATATCAAAGAGCTTTTGAAGATAGAAGAGTCTGTTTTTGCACTACTACATACACCGTCTTTTCCCCACTTGGCTTATGATTGTCACAGTAAGGGAAAAAAATAAGGTTCTAATTCAAAGACAACGCAAGGAAAACATAAACATATGTAGGCGTTAACTTCAAGGTATCCTCAAACGATATTGTATCTCAGCACTTTCACAGACAATGTGGGTGGCTCTGAAAAGAGCCTTTGATTCTCTGCATGTTTTAATACGCGGTTGGGCAATTTATTTGCCTTTGGCCTTGTGGTGGCTCTCGGTCTTCTTGGGCAGCAGCACGGCCTGGATGTTGGGCAGGACGCCGCCCTGCGCGATGGTCACGCGTCCCAACAGCTTGTTGAGCTCCTCGTCGTTGCGGATGGCCAGCTGCAGGTGGCGCGGGATGATGCGCGTCTTCTTGTTGTCGCGGGCCGCGTTGCCCGCCAGCTCCAGGATCTCGGCCGTCAGGTACTCGAGCACGGCCGCCAGGTAGACCGGGGCGCCGGCGCCCACCCGCTCCGAGTAGTTGCCCTTGCGGAGCAGCCGGTGCACTCGGCCCACGGGGAACTGCAGGCCGGCCCGAGACGAGCGGGTCTTGGCCTTGGCGCGCGCCTTGCCGCCCTGCTTACCGCGTCCAGACATACTGAATACTGCAGTAGATAAAGATTCGCTGCGAATCTCAAAAGCCAAATGCTCAGAAACAGGCAGTAGGTTGCTAGTTATAGTGCTAGAAGGAAGTGAAAATCTCGCTGTTGGATTGGTCAAAATCCCCTTTGCTTAGGAAACCAATAAGAAGTCAGCGGTGACGCAGGTCACTTAGCATAATTTCGTCACTACAAAACTGTCAAATCAGGCTCGATTAGTCTTCAATACCTCATTTGCATACAGTGTCTATAAAAGGCCAGAGGTAACAGTTGGAAGACAGTTGCTAATTGCTCGTCTTTTGACTGAGTTCTAGCATTGATCACCATGCCTGAGCCCGCCAAGTCCGCGCCCGCCCCGAAGAAGGGCTCCAAGAAGGCCGTGACCAAGGCGCAGAAGAAGGACGGCAAGAAGCGCAAGCGCAGCCGCAAGGAGAGCTACTCGGTGTACGTGTACAAGGTGCTGAAGCAGGTGCACCCCGACACGGGCATCTCGTCCAAGGCCATGGGCATCATGAACTCGTTCGTCAACGACATCTTCGAGCGCATCGCCGGCGAGGCGTCCCGCCTGGCGCACTACAACAAGCGCTCGACCATCACGTCGCGGGAGATCCAGACGGCCGTGCGCCTGCTGCTGCCCGGGGAACTGGCCAAGCATGCCGTGTCCGAGGGCACCAAGGCCGTCACCAAGTACACCAGCTCCAAGTGAGCGAGCTCCTATTTGGCTGCGATAACCCCAAAGGCTCTTTTCAGAGCCACCACTTTTTCCACTGAAGAGCTGTGGATGCGTTTGCTCTCCAATATTAGGGACCTAAAGGGAACTAATTTCTTTTGTTCTACATAAGGAGGCGTGGGCTTTATGTTGAGAGTGCATTAGTTTGTATTAGTGGGCAAAGCACCTACTTTAACTATTCACTTAATGCATAAGAGCTATTTTGGCAGAGAAGAATATCAGGAAAATAATTTCAAGGTAGTTTTTGTTGACCTAAGTTAGCTTTCCTCCAAATTTTATTTAGTCCTCTACCAAGTTATCCTCGTCCTTGTAGTTCATTGGCACTTATGTACTGACACTCAGATGGGTGTTGCAGATGGGGGATAGTTGGATGTTTTCTGAAGCCTCTGTTTTTAAGAGTACCTGGACTCCTTTTGCAATTGTATTACACTCTTTACAGGAATAGCCAATCATTTTCAGTTCTACTGAAGCTTAATCCTGTTTTATTTTTCTGCTATATTCTCTAGCATCTCATGCTTTGTTAACTGGTGTTTGATAAATGATAATTTACTTGCTCTCAAGTAATCCAATCAGAAATAAAACCACCATCAGTTTTCCCAGGATTATTTTAAATCCAGTAAAGCCGTTTTCCCTAAGGGTAGTTGATAGGCCTCTAGGATACTGGCCATTTTCTTATGGTGCTTTGTCCTCATGCGTTCCTTTTTGGTTAATTCTAGAAATGTTTGGAAAGGTGATTATACAGTCAAAGGAAATTAATCTGAGTAGCTCCTACCTAAAGTTCTTTTTTCCCCTTCTGGGTTTAATTGAGTGTGCTCTCTGCAAGGCAAGTGCCTCAACTGCTGTACAATCTCTCTGAGCCCACTAGTCTAAGTTTTGAGAAAAGTATTTTAAAATTATTTTCATTATTTTAACTTAGTTAATAGGGACCACCTCAGTTCTTAGCTTCCCTAATTTAACCCATTTCCTGTCACACACACACACACACACACACACACACACACACATGCACACATACGCACACTATTTGTTGATTGTCAGTTATAGATTTGGAACATAATTGTAGAGACATTGTATCTCCCACAGTAGGTCATAGTACTCTGAAAATTTAATTAGGAAGTTGTATACTTTGTGGTCTATGAACATGAAAAATACATAGTGTGATTTATAATTTCGGGGAGTTTATGTACATCTTGATGCTAGATATACCTTTCTAGATATTTACTTCTACAATTATAGCAAACAAAAATGAAATATTTGTAACTATTATAAACGTTCACTCACATACACTACCTGGCACTTTTAGGTTTCCTTTCCTTTTTAAAAACATATATTTTTCCACTCTGCTTTTGTTCTTTATGCATTTTGTTTGAATGCCTCTGTATGTTTTGTTCTGGATGTTTGCTGGCACTTAGGGACTAAAAATTTATTTAGGAAAGGTTCCTTCAGAATATGAAGTAGTAATCAAGGATGTGGTTCACAGGCAGCTCACCCACTCTTCCTTGCATGTTCGAGGTTCTAGCTTTGATCCCTCAAGCTGAAAAAAAATTGCTAGCTTTTCCTACCAATTTTGATGTTTAATTTTTGGGGTGCTAGAAATAGTAATAATAAAACATTTCTGGATATATGGGGTGGCGAGATTGGAGGTGGAGTATTGTCTGAAAATTCATTGTAAATAAGTATGTAAATCATGACTCCTAAAGAAAAATATTTTTAAAATAGCATTATTTCACCTGTTTTTTGTTCATGGCATTTATAATTTACATAAGCTTTCAGTGACAAGGAAATAAATGTAATATTTCAGTACCTTTATATAAGAATACACAGAAGACTGATATAATAGAAATAATATGCAAATTTGTTGTCATTAAACAGATTTTTGCCAACAGGGACAAAAATATTTTTATTTTATTTTATTTTTTTGCTTTTTGGGTCACACCCAGAGGCGGTGCACAGAGGTTACTCCTGGCTCTGCACTCAGAAATCACCCCTGGCAGTGCTCAGGGGACCATCTGGGATGCTGAGAATTGAACCCGTGTTGGTTGCTTGCAAAGTAAACGCCTACCCGCTGTGCTACTGCTCCAGCCCCCCAAAAATAATATTTTAAAAGATTGTCTCTAGATGGGTGTAGAGATAGTCCAGCAGGCAAGGTAATTTATGTAACTGACACATGTTCAATCCCCGTCACCACATGTGGTTCCCTAAACACTGCAAAGATAAGTAGAGTTCCATCCAGAGTGTGCTATGAGCAAGTCAGGTGTTTCCTGAAACCCCAGGTGTTTTTTGTTGTCCCCCAAATTATGCTCTTCCTGGAGAAAAATAATCTTAGGCAACAGCACCAACATATTTTAATGGTAAGTTTTCTGAACTGTCAGATTTGTGACAGAATATGGTATTTTGTGAATAGTCCAATCCATGATTTTGTGATTTGGAAAATTCTCATGATTAAATGCCTCCATGGTGAACAGAGCGGTTTGTATTTCAATTTTTTGACTTTGTCTAACTCCCATTAGTGTCTTGATTTAATTTTCAAAAAATCCAGGTGTGTATAGCTTGGTAAGAGCTAAGGGTGAACTAAAACATTTTAGTCATAAAAGACTCATTATAGAACACACATGTAGGGGTTAATAAATTATAAGCTGAAACTTGCATGCTAGTAGTATAGCCTATTTTGTATCTCAAGTGGATAGTGGAAATAAGATTGGCATTTTACCTTACTGTTAAATATTTTCTGCAACTAGGTATGAGTTAGAATACCTAATACAACCGAGAACCTTAATGCTTTCCATGTAACCAAGATTGAAAACTTTTCTGGGAAGCCACAATATCCACTAGTTATTACAACTCTTAACGTGAAAGAGTGGGATGGCCCTTAAAAGGGCCGTTGGGTGAGACCTTTAGTCTGTTCGCTTACAAGCATTACTTGGAGCTGGTGTACTTGGTGACGGCCTTGGTGCCCTCGGACACGGCATGCTTGGCCAGTTCCCCGGGCAGCAGCAGGCGCACGGCCGTCTGGATCTCCCGCGACGTGATGGTCGAGCGCTTGTTGTAGTGCGCCAGGCGGGACGCCTCGCCGGCGATGCGCTCGAAGATGTCGTTGACGAACGAGTTCATGATGCCCATGGCCTTGGACGAGATGCCCGTGTCGGGGTGCACCTGCTTCAGCACCTTGTACACGTACACCGAGTAGCTCTCCTTGCGGCTGCGCTTGCGCTTCTTGCCGTCCTTCTTCTGCGCCTTGGTCACGGCCTTCTTGGAGCCCTTCTTCGGGGCCGGGGCGGACTTGGCGGGCTCAGGCATGGTGAACAGCTCGAACAGATTCCAAAGGAAAAACGAACTTCCTTTCGAGCACCATAATATTTGTAGGGCTTCTATGCAAATACAGCTTTGAAAACTCTCAGTTGTGATTGGCTGACTCTCCGGAATGACGATAGCACCGTTCTCGAATTTGATTGGGCGCTTGGACTAAGCTGGATGGAGCCAATCAAAGAGTGGAATTTGCAATGCAGCTTGAGAGTATAAGTAGTTGCCAATTGGTAAGTAAGTTCATTTCTCCGCTTTGCACATTTCTTGCATCTCGTTTTCTCTGTGCTCTGCAGCCATGTCTGGACGCGGCAAACAGGGCGGCAAGGCACGCGCCAAGGCCAAGACCCGCTCGTCGCGGGCCGGCCTGCAGTTCCCCGTGGGCCGAGTGCACCGGCTGCTCCGCAAGGGCAACTACTCGGAGCGGGTGGGCGCCGGCGCCCCGGTGTACCTGGCGGCCGTGCTCGAGTACCTGACGGCCGAGATCCTGGAGCTGGCGGGCAACGCGGCCCGCGACAACAAGAAGACGCGCATCATCCCGCGCCACCTGCAGCTGGCCATCCGCAACGACGAGGAGCTCAACAAGCTGCTGGGCAAAGTGACGATCGCGCAGGGCGGCGTCCTGCCCAACATCCAGGCCGTGCTGCTGCCCAAGAAGACCGAGAGCCACCACAAGGCCAAGGGCAAATAAAGCGGCGCACTGGAGCTTTAACTCTTTGCGGAGTTACTTTAAACCCAAAGGCTCTTTTCAGAGCCACCTATTCATTCTCGAAAAGGGCCGCACTTGCATAACAATGGTATTTTTCACATTCTTAATCCTCGTTAGCATTCAGTGCTGTAGTAAAGCGAAAGTGAATGTTTACGGAAATGATAAAATTGCATATGAATGCCGAGCAGTGGTTAGGGCACTTGTGAGCAAGGGTTAGTGGCTTTAGGTTTCTTTCTCCTGCAGCTCACTTCACACCCTGATTATACTTAGGTGGTGAGCCCTCATCCCATAGGTCAGCTGCGGGTCGTTGGGCACCTTAGTGCACCGGCCCCACAAGATCATTAAGCAGAAAAAGGTGGGGAGAGTCAAAAATACTGATTCGTGGACCATGGTTGGCGTTAAGGAATTGAAACTGTTGGCGAGGCAGCTGAGCCTTTGAAGAAAAATTAAGTAGTGAATAGTCACTTAAGTTTGAAAGTCGTTCTTTTCTTGTGTATTGTACAATCACGCACGATCCATTATATAAAAATTGGGCTCCACCAGAGAAGTAATTTCCTCTCTGCTGTAGTAGGTTCTCATCAGTTTTATTTATTTATTTTAAAGGTGGGGGGCTTTCCGGTAGAGACCAGAGAAAGCCTGCTAGACAAATTCTAAAAGAGCTGTAACACTTCTCATCAGTTTTAAATAGGAACTTTTTTTGTGACCCTGTTGGATATGTCTTATAACTTCAGCCAGACAGTCTTGTGGTAAGAATACAGAGTAATTTTTTAGTTTTTGATCACACCCTGTGATGCTTGGGATTACTGGAGGCTTGATGGTTTGGGAAATTTGGGGGTGTTTACATGCGGGTGTAAATATGGGGGGAAATATGGGGGTATTTATACGTGGGTGTAAATAACGCCCACGACTCCCGCATTTATGGCACATTCTCCAGGCTTTCAAACCATCTGTATTAAAAATTTTTTCAACCTTAATTCAAAGTTACACATAGTTAAAAGCTTTTCTATGAGAATGAATGTTAGTGTCAACCTTGATGTATGTGTGTTTTTGTTTTTTCAGTAAGTGTGTAAGAGCCGTTAGAAAAACAAGTATTAAAATCTGTGCGCTTAGAGACGCTAAGGAATGCCAAGGAAGCTTCAGTTTTCTTTGAGGGAACGTTCCTAAAACAAAAGAAAGGGAGACAAAATCACTTGGCCAATCACAGTGAGCCCGCGCATTTTCAAACCGATTCAAAGCGGCACGGTTTAGGCGCCAACATTTAAAAATCTTTATTTAGCAAGTAGCATTGTAAGTTTGTGCTTGCTCTGCGAGGAGGCAACATTCGAAAAACTGCAAAGGAACCGCGTTCAGTTCCTTTACAGTTCAAAACAGTCTTTAAACAGAGGTGGAATGAAGGACGTGAATTGTTGAAAAAAAAAAAAACAACCCAGCAGCGGCTCATGTGATCAGGCTGCGAACGCGGCCGCCAACGCCTCCGTTGTGAGCCAACGAGCGCCTCGTCCAATCAGGATAAGGCTCGGTTTATATATACGGGCAGCGGCGCGCGGCCGAGCTCTGTTTCCACCAGTTACCTCGCTCCTCCTTGAGACCGTTGCCATGGCCCGCACCAAGCAGACAGCTCGCAAGTCGACCGGCGGGAAGGCGCCCCGCAAGCAGCTGGCCACCAAGGCGGCCCGCAAGAGCGCGCCGGCCACGGGCGGCGTCAAGAAGCCGCACCGCTACCGGCCCGGCACCGTGGCGCTGCGCGAGATCCGCCGCTACCAGAAGTCCACCGAGCTGCTCATCCGCAAGCTGCCGTTCCAGCGGCTGGTGCGCGAGATCGCGCAGGACTTCAAGACCGACCTGCGCTTCCAGAGCTCGGCCGTCATGGCGCTGCAGGAGGCCTGCGAGGCCTACCTGGTGGGGCTCTTCGAGGACACCAACCTCTGCGCCATCCACGCCAAGCGCGTCACCATCATGCCCAAGGACATCCAGCTGGCGCGCCGCATCCGCGGGGAGCGGGCGTAGATTCTTCCCCGACATCCCCTAACCACCCAAAGGCTCTTTTCAGAGCCAACTACTTTACACAGGAGTTGCTGTAATGACTAAGACCTAGTACCTGGGTGTTGTGGGTGTTACCGTTTGCCTTCTGAGCTTTGAAGTCCTTCCACTTACGGTGTTTGACCCCTAGGTTTGAGTCCGGGTTTGCTCAGAGGTGGATGTTCATGGCGCACCTGGTTTCTCTGCTCCTTGTGCTCCGCGACCGCCTTTTATGTGCTTTTACAGAGCTTATCATTTTATGCCAGGAAGCTTCAGGTTTCTTCGTGGGTACCCCCACTCCCGCAGGAGAAGGGGAGTTGTTGCATGTCTGGTTTCATGTGTTTGTTAGTAGCCGGGTGGACAGAATTGCTGCACGCTCATTGGTTCTTTCCTGGTCTTCCCGCCTAGGCGGTCTAATCTCAGCTCAGTCCCAGAATTGTTTGTTACAATCCTGGAAAGACCCCAAAATTAAGATATCCTGTGAAGGAAAGGACTCTATAGAATTTTGTTTTCCGTTGTTTCATCACGGTGGTCTCAGTCTTAACTATCCCCCTGACAACCGAACTTTACAGGTAGAGATGCATTTTCTTGATTTTTTTTTTTTATTTGTGTGTACTTTCTCTTTATGCTCTCAGCAGCTGGATAACTAAACTTAGAATGTAATTCAGGAAACAAGAAAAAATAGAAAGACACAACTACACCACTTAATAAAATTAACTAATTATTAAAAATCATGCTTTATATTCACTACATATTTTCATTTTCATATTAGACACCAAGGTTTACAACATTCTTAAGGAGAGTTAACAGGTTTCACTAGTTTTTTTTTATGCAACAATATAGATTTGTCAGAAACACAGTTTATGCTTAATGTTGAGTTGGAAAAGATTGACAGTAGGAAGTGACATAATTTTATTTTCTTCATCATTCCTGTCTCTATATTTGCTTGTCAAACTTATTTTGGAGTATACTCATTTTTTCAGTCTGTTTCACCAGGAGTATGTAAGAAAAATGGGAAAAGACAGCAAAGTCCAAAGTGAAAGGTGTTCCTTCGTCCCACTAGAATCAACAAAGACTACTTCAAGCACCACATAGAACATCAAAACATTTCCATTAATAAAAATTTAATATGTGATTCAAATGGAGGTGAATGAAGAAATTACCTTATTGACTTATTTTACTTTACAATATGACTTATTTTACCTCTTGTATTTTTGTATAGACATCATGTATTTTAAACTTTTAGTGGACTTGATTTATTATGGTTGGTTTTCTATAGCATTTTCAAATGAAACATTATTTGTTCATGTAAATATGTTAGGATTCTCTAAGGCTATGTATGTCATGTGTTGAGGAATTGCATTTTTTTGTGTGTAATTATGTAGTTTTAATCCTTCTTTCCTGTCTTCTTGAGAAAAGGCCAAACTTAAATTTTCCAGCTGCTTGCTGGATATCTACTCCTGCAATGTCTCATACTAGACTCTCAAAGTGACAGATCCCATTCTAAGTAGTTTCAATCAAAAGATAAACTTCCATTGACATTCATATGTGTCCAAGTAGCAACACCTCAGTTTTATTAACTAGCATATATACATCTAGTTCTTTTCCTTTTTTTGTCACCACATTCAGTGTATCACCAAGTTTGGGGTGAAGTTTTCCAAAATTCACTTATCCTCCTTTTCCTTTTTTTTTTTTTTTGGTCCCATACGTAGTCATGCTCATGGCTTACTCCTGGTTCTGTGCTCAGGAATTATTCCTGTTGGAGCACCAGGGACAAAACCAGGGTCAGTTTTATGCTAGTGGAGTGACTAACCCCTCTACTATCTCTCTGGTTCTCTTAGCTATTTTTATACGTTGGACATTTTTTTTTTTTTTTGCTTTTTGGGTCACACCTGGCGATGCACAGGGGTTACTCCTGGCTCTGCACTCAGGAATTACTCCTGGTGGTGCTCAGGGGACCATATGGAATGCTCGGAATCGAACCTGGGTCAGCCGCATGCAAGGCAAATGCCCTACCTGCTGTGCTATAGCTCCATCCCCATGTTGGACATTTTTGCAACTTTGTCCAGGTTATCTCTTTCAAAGTTAAATGCTCTATAATTTATACTTATTTTTTTTTGGGGGGGGTATCACAGGAGCTATTTGTGGCCCCTTGCTTGATATTCATTCCTGGCAGTGTTCAGGAGCCCATATGCAGGGTTGGGTACCCAATTGCTTTCCTATATTTATTCTAGCCTGTTGAGCTATATCTCTGGTAACTATAATAATCTTTCTTATACATTAAAAATAAAACAGTTGGGCTGAGAGTATAGGGTTTAAGGTAATTGGCCTTGCATGTCTGGTTTTGTTTGATCCTGGGTTTCAGCAATATGGGGCCCTGAGCACTTCCAGGAGTAAGCCCTGAGCACTATGGGGTATGGCCTGAACCACCCTCCCTCACAGGAGATACAATTGATGACAGATTATCCAAGAAAACAGAGAATATACGAGATAGGCTGCCTCCAATACAATGGATCCTATAATGCCAATTTTTAATCCTTCTTTCCAGTTGGAGGAAAGAGGTTGGAGGTACGGTGACAAGATACAGCGCTAAATAGTCTGTCCACATAGCACACATCAATTCAGAAATTTGAGACAACACAAGCCATCACACCTTCGGGGTATACATACCTAGAAATCTTCAGTGAAATCAAGTGACTTTTAACTTATTTTGCCCGTGAACATGTAACCTCCTATACTTTGAGTTCCCATGGTAGGGTTATTAGTTTGCCTATCAAAAATCCATGTTTAAAACAACCAGTGATACTCATCAATAAAAGGAAGATAGTTAAGCAATGAAGATATACTTTGTTAATAAAAAGTGTCATAATGTGCAACTGTGCATTATTAACTTTTTCATATTTGGAAATCAAACAGACAAGTTGTCAGGCTTTGTGAAGATTGACCTGACTGTCCCCACTCAGTGGTTGCACGTATTGTGTCTTTACAGGGACACACTTTCACACAGTGCAGTGTTAACCAGCCCCATGCCAGCCGGTTTCTAGGCTCTGGCGCCCCCTTCTGTTCCCAGCAGCGCTGAGCAAGAGCGAACGAGGAAGGGCGGGAACGGACCGTGGGGCCCCGCCCCTGCTGTCCTGCTTTCAAACAGGTCCGCCACTCTCCTATAAAAGGGCTGCGCGCGCCAAGCACTTCGCAGTGTTACCGGCTCATTGTCTCCTGCACGATGTCTGGACGCGGCAAGGGCGGGAAGGGCCTGGGGAAAGGCGGCGCCAAGCGCCACCGCAAGGTGCTGCGCGACAACATCCAGGGCATCACCAAGCCCGCCATCCGCCGCCTGGCCCGGCGCGGCGGCGTCAAGCGCATCTCGGGGCTCATCTACGAGGAGACCCGCGGGGTGCTCAAGGTCTTCCTGGAGAACGTCATCCGCGACGCCGTCACCTACACCGAGCACGCCAAGCGCAAGACCGTCACGGCCATGGACGTGGTCTACGCGCTCAAGCGCCAGGGCCGCACCCTCTACGGCTTCGGCGGCTAAACCTCGGTTTGGCTTTCCAGTCCCCAAACCCAAAGGCCCTTTTCAGGGCCACCTATACGCTCAGTTGAAAGAGCCTGTCACTTATCCTGGTGTTTATCCTGGAACTGGGTAGGGATAATTCCTCAAGCGGTGGTAATCAGAAGTGTTCTGTGTTCATTTTCCACAGAGTATGGATGACAGCATTGGACTGCTTTGTTTGGGGGTCCTTCACTGCCATGGAGTGGTCCGTGGCCCTGCCGGGTGTACTACCGCAACTCTCCCAAGTGCTTGAGACAGCATCTAGTCTAGGAGTTTCAGATAAGTACACCTTGAGTGAGGTTCAGGGTGCAGAGGACTGGGATGACCGGATAAGGGAGATTAAATTACTTTGATAATTTACGACGGTTTTTAAAAGTGGAGTAACCATTGGCATTGGCGGTTAAAGAAGGCATACTCAGTTCCTGAGCTGCCCCCATTTGTCGTTTCTCAGAATGCAAAACTATTTAATATAACTGATGCAACTCATGTTTAATAAAATCGATTTTTGGTTACAAACACAAGTCATGGATTTAAATCATGGATTTAGAACTGTTTCCTATCAAAACATTCTGACCAAAACGGCCTTTCAAATCCTGTTCTTAGGGCTCAAATTTTGCCTTTTTTAACCCGTGGAATAAGGCAATAAATAGGACCGCAGTTCTCAAGGGATTATTCATTTCTTATTCTTCTAATAAGCTTGTACAACCTTCGTTACCGTTTTATTCTTTGTCCTCACAGTGGATTCCCTTGAATTATGGTGCGAATGCTTCCCCTCCAGCATGAAGTTGATTTGATCTTAAGCACAGAGCTGGGCAGTTTCCTAGTAATCTAGGAAAGAGGCTACATTTCCAGGGGATTTTGGAAGCAGAGGTATGTGGCTAAGGGCTCTCCAACCAGGGAGCAGGATGCACTCTCTAGTCTGGGCTCTTCGCCATCAGTTATATTATTAACCTCTTTTGACTCAGCAGAGAAGAATATAAGAGCTAGGGGAAACAAGAAGATGGTCTTCTAAGGAACAGGAGAGTGATGAGGACCAGCAGAATGATCAGGACCAGCAGTAGTGTTCTCAGACCGTTTCATACAACAAGAATAGCTGCTTATATGCTGATTTGTGGGGTCCAGCGTGGCGGGGGACTTTTGGTTCTAGTTATTTAACTTTGTCATATACGAAAGGCTGGACTGTTTTCTCTAGTTAGCCTTGTGATCTTTCTTTTCACTGCTCTGAAAATCCTTATGAAAAGCTAATACCAGGGGCTGGAGAGATAGCACAGCGGGTAGGGCGTTTGCCTTGCACGCGGCCAACCCGGGTTCGATTTCCAGCATCCCATATGGTCCCTTGAGCACCGCCAGGAGTAACTCCTGAGCGGAGAGCCAGAAGTAACCCCTGTGCATCGTCAGGTGTGACCCCAAGAAAAGAAAAAAAAAGCTAATACCAA